TTTAAAAGTATTCTTCAGTATATTCTGAAGCACCACGTTTCCTATTTCAAAGTTATGTATACATTCACAGTTGATTTAAGTCTATAATATAAAAAGTCAATTTAAGTCTATAACGTATAAAAAGATTTGCATATCACAACTGAAAAACTGCTGAACAAAGACTACCACAGACGAGAGATACCTGACCAGGACTGCATCCAATACAGACTAGGAAAAAGGAGGACGTGATTCACCTTCACACTTTTCCCATCCTGGTGAGACAAAGTGAGCTCTGTACTCTTACTGACACAGAAAAAAAGCTGGAAACAGGCTATGGCAAGAGCTTCTACACTTTACCTAGGTGCCAGCTCTATTCCAAAGGAAGATTTAATACGACCAAATCACTGGAAGCAGATATCTATAACCAGATTTCAGCAGCAGGGCAGATCCTCAGTACAAACGATCTAAGCTCATGGCTACAAGACACATGTTGGTCACTAAAACCAAACTACCATAATATGTAAGCATCCCTCTTTGAAGAGCTGACCTTCAGTCTCTTCTCCAGATTAAGAACTCTGGAATAAAATGGAACAAAACGTTTTCTTTAATGCTGAAGATTCAGATATCTGCTCTTACGTTCAGTAGTTACCAAGAAACAAATGCTGAGGACTTTTCAATTAAAGCTAAACCCAGCACTTTAATAGTCTATACAAAATTTTACATTTACAGTGGAACTAGTTTACCTGCCATTCAAACTCACTGTCTGACCAATCCCAGTACGTGCTGATAGAAGAAGAGACATCACTGCAGACGCTACCCTCGGGGAACAAATCAAAAGAGGTGAACTCCTGGTCATCCAATAGAGAGTAACAGTCATCTTGATCACCAACTGAAACCGATGAGAACAGCTCCTCACTGCACTCTGAGCTGGCTACGCTGGTTCCACAAGACGTCAAGTTCCACCTGCGAAACAGGACAAAACAAATAGAAAGCAGCAAACTTATCGGCATCATGTGTCCTGAAAAATGCTTAGTTCTTTTAAGCCTCATAAAACTATCTCCACTTTGCTTGTCAGTAACATTATACATTGATTTTACTGAAATAAGTTATAATTATGTAAATTGAAGTATTCTGTTTTAAAATATTTTTAAAGGTCCATAAACAACACCAGAAGGAATTCAACGTTAAAAATGGCAAGGCAAAAATCCACATACAGTTAGTACAACTACACCTTTATTTTAATATATTAACACTTTCCACCCCAGAGCCATGATTCCTGTAGCGTGTAAATTGTCTTTTTTTGTTGTTGTTGGTTGGTTGGTTGTTTTTTTAAATACACTGAACTAAAAATATAATTTCCCATATGTTGGGATATTTAAACTTCCATGTAAATTGAAATAAGCAAAACTAAGAAGTAAATCAACTGGACTTCAGCACAAACAGGAGTCAAAAAGAAATTCTAGGTTGATAATCCCCCACAAAACTAAGGCTTAATAAGGAAACACATTATGGATATACCCAAGACTCCGTTATTCACTATTTTCAACTCTGAATGCCAAAAATATTGGACATGCTGTTGGAATGAGACAGTGCAAGATGGGAAAATGACCTGTGTGAAAATGCTACCATTGCAAAACTAAACACTTTTTCCCCTCATAATTTCATTTAAAGAGCTAGTTAAGGCTGTTGCTAAAGGAAAGCAATTGAGGACTCAAACTCTGCAGAACAGGTTTTTTACTCTAATAAGAGTAAGCCAGAATTTAACAAGCTCATGAAATCAGTCTCCATATCTGGATTTATTTTACATATTGGTGAAAAGTAGGTTGAGACAACTATGAGTCAGCATAGCACTGCAATATGGCCAAAACAATTTGAAAAGGGCTTCTAAAATTCACCACACAAACCCACGCTATCACCTCCTGTTCCATCAGCCTATCCACTTCAGCCTGGCTAACTAGAAAAACATTCCTCTGCCCAACTACAAAAGCTGAGCAATGCCATCACCCAGAAAGGCTGGTCCTCACCATCATTATTTAAGCTGCATACCAGGTTGGCTAAATATGTTTGTGATTAACACAAACAGATTAACATCTATTTGGCCAGCACTGATTTTATCCAATGTCAAAGACATTCCAAAAACTTTTCTTTTAGCAGGTCCAGGAGATCTTGCCCTCCCTCCCTTTCCACATCCCTTATACACGTGAGATGTTTTACTGGTACGGACTTTTGTGGGCAGGGCAATCAATCGGTATAGAATAGAATACGAGCATGGTGACGCAGCGTGCTTCAATATTCATGAAATATCAACGAAAGGAAAGATAGGGCAGACAAAGTTTCCAGACCCATCAAAACACATGATGAGGTACAGGGGCTCTACCACCAACCAACTACACAGATACTCCAGCTATGCAGTATCATTGCAGGCATAGGCAGTCAGCCCTCCCCTTCTCATACCTAGGGGGTCTGCAGTACTTGCTGGCGTGAACTGGATTAAGAAGAAGTGGGAACTACATTAAAATTACTCGTAACTTTAAAAAATAGAAAGCCTTATGCGAACACCACAGATTGAGCGGTGCATCTGCAATGGCTTAATCAGTGCAAGACAGGGCATGCCCCTGCCCAAAGAAGTGAAATACCCACTCAAGTGCCCGGGTTACAAACCTGGGTTTGTAAAATGAGCAAGCCTGAGTAACACGCTCGGGAAGTGAAAGGCAACGCAAAGAGAAATGCACAAAATGAATTAAATGCAAATTTGGTGAATATCACGCATTTATCTTACAGATATGCTATGAATACATCTCACTGTTCATGCCACAATTGGGTCCTATGATATAAGAACTAGATCATGAAAGTGTACCATATTTGATCAAGGCTCTTCATGCTGAATCATTTAAGAATCTATAATTAAGAGCCTGCCCTTGTGAATGACACTTTTAAAATGTAATTTCCATGATTTCATACAAATTCAATTGAAAGACTACCTTATGATTCACTCTTCATTATGGTGTAGTAGGAACACTAATAACCAGTAAAAGTATCCTGCAACTCTCGAACAGGAACTAGAACTATCCCACACGTATGTTCAAGACTGAAATCTCACAAGTTGTTCCCAAAAAAAGCTATTGCTATATTCAAGTTTAATACTATGCATAAATAGTAGCAGAATCAGGTTCTTAGGTAAGCAGGACTGTTTGGTTTTGATTTTATAAGCACAATTGGAATTTCTTTGTAGAGCTGCATTTGCATTTTTAGAACAGGCCTTTTCTACAAATTACAGACAGAGTAATTTGCCCTTGATTAGTGGCATGGGATGGAAATGTTTCTGCAGGAATCACTGCAGACACCAAGCCTCCTGACTCATTCTGAACCTCTACAGGTTTGCTGGGTGTCCACGCCAGGCCTGCTTTTAAATTACTATAAACCATCCTACCGCGCTCAAAACTGCATTTTAAGAAATTCGGAAAGGAACAAACACATCTTAAAAACCGACCAAGCTCACGCCGGTTAACAGCTGTAATGTTACTAGCCAAAGCCAGACTAAGCTCATAGCCAGCCCCGCCAAAGGCAAGGAGATC